GAGGTAAAAATGATAGAACTATTTGGAAAACAAGTTTTTCTTTAAAAACTGAACATATACCTACTCTGTGACCCAGTAATTTCTTTCATAGTTACTTACCTAAGAGAAAAAAAAAGGCATTTTTCCATGAGGACTTGCACAATGTTCATAACAGGTTTATTCATAATACCTTAAAAACTGGAAACAAACTAAATGTTCATCAAAATGAGAATGAGTAGACTGATATATTCATACAAGGGTACATTACTCATTAATAAAAAGAAATACATTATACTTCTACTGAAAAATATAAATTTCAAAAATATCCTGAGTGAAAGAAATTTCACACAAAAAATATACACACTATATGAAGTTTAGAACAGAAGAAACTTGTCTGTGATGGAAAAAATCAGACCACTCATTCCCTTTTTGAGAAAGATGGCAAATATTGATGGCACGAGGAATGAAGAATGAAGAAACTTTCTGAATTGGTGGTACTGTTTTATACCTTTCAAAGGGCTTAAAAAACAACAGTCTTACATATTTGTTAAAATTCATCAAGTGGCATACTTAAGAACTGAGTGGTTTACTGTGTATATGTTTTACCTTTAAAAAAGAACCATAAACAAATTATACATAATGAAGCATTTAGGCATGAAATGCATTGATGTCTGCAGCTGTCTTTGCAATGTATCAAAAAAATTGAACTGATGAATACATAAAGGAACAATTAGATGAATAGATATAGTAAATGTAAATATATGGTTAACATAGTAAATATGGTAAAATGTTAATTGTAGACTCTAGATGGCAGATATATGGTAATCATTCTACAAGTCTTTCAACTTTTGTATGTTTGAAATTTTAAAATAAAATGTTAAATTTTTCAATATCTTGTTTTATCCAGAAGAAAGCTGTTAAAGTTTGAATAGAAGTTATTAAGTATGATTAAGTATAAATTGGCTGCTTCTAAAAATTTAAATTAGCCAAAACCGGTTTGGCTCAGTGGATAGAGTGTTGGTCTGAGGACTGAAAGGTCCCAGGTTCGATTCTGGTTAAGAGCATGTACACTGGTTGCGGGCACATCCCCAGTGGGGGGGGTGCAGGAGGCAATTGATCGATGTCTCTCTCTCATCGATGTTTCTAGCTCTCTATCCCTCTCCCTTTCTCTCTGTAAAAAATCAATAAAATAAAGTGATCTCAAAAAGAATTATGAGAAAAACAGCACATTTTCCCTATCTCTGAAAAGAACTCAACAAGGCTTTCTCCTCTCGGGGGGGGGGGGGGGGGGGGGGGGGGGGAGAGGAGGAAGGAGGAAAAAAAAAAATCACTGACCTTTTTTCTTTTCCTTTGCTTGGTTTTAGCTGAGTCTTGTCCAGCATTTCCATTCCCAAGGGACCCTGCTGAGGCTTTCCCTGCATGCTGTGGTCCAGAGGATGGAGCTGTTGGTGTAGGAGGAGGTGTATTCTCAGGGGAGTCTGGGTAGGACTTCATGCAAGATCCCTGCCCAAAGAGATGTGGCTTTGAAATCAAGTGACCAGGACTTCTACTAACATTTGATTTTGTTTAGTATCTCATGAATTTAACACTAGTTGAAGCTTACAAATATACAAATACAATTAATTATTATCATGTTCACAGAAATGGTGCCTCTATCTTGCCCCTAAAATGTCTAAATATCTTCACTTATAATCTGTCTAATCATTTAGATATAATAAGGAGTCCTCAGATACAGCTTCTAAATTTTCTGTGGGTTTTGTCAGATACAGACATTTCTACCTGGAAGTTCTGTTAACATTTAAAACTTACATGTTTCAAAAGGAACCTCTAAACTTGTCCCCATCCCAAACTGGACACCTTTCAGACATTTTTTTTGTATCAGTGTTGACCAGCCCTCTCCCAGTATCTCAGGGTCACAGTTGATAACCTCTAGCTCTTTCCACATCTAATTCCTTCCTTCTTTCAGAAATCCCTCCTATTTATCTGGTTCCATTGGCTATGACTGTCAGTCTATTCTCTCTTCCAGTTAGAAGTACTTCAAATATTTAAAAACCACTATACTTCACAGCCTTTTCTACAGGCCAAACATCTCAGGTTCCTTCAACCACTGGTACATGTTTTCAGCTTCCTTCACTCCCTGTTAACTCTCCTTAGACATCTTCCACTGTGTGTCAGCGTCCACCCTATAAGATGGTGCCTAAACACTAAAACCAAACAAAGAAAGCTTCCTTAATGTAAATCATAATATCGGCTCCTAAGAAATTTATAGGTAAATAAAAGTCTCTGTCTTTTTTACATATGGTACTAATAACCTGTCATCCCATCAACCATACATACTAACCATACTATCTACTCGCCTACACTTCTCTATAATTAAAAAAAAAAATATGCTAAAATGTTGCAAAATATTTTGCTGAATTTCAGATATTGGTTTCTTTGATCTACATGCCTAGAAACATTATCAATTAGAAAGGGTAAAGCTAATCTAGCATAAACTGTTCTTAGGAAAAACAAGATAGCTCCTAAAAATTATTGCTTCCTGTGCATTAGCCATATGCTAGAAAAAATATATAGAAAATTAAGTTGAATTAATATTAAACTTGCAAAATCAATATGAGAAACACAATCTTAAATAGCTCAGTTCTTTATAATACTTAATGCTTAAGAAATGATAATCATTAAAATTAGAAGCATTTTATATTAAATTCATGCCTTAAATTTCCAATTCCAATCCACTGTACACAGCACTTCCACTTGGATCTTCTTAAAACACCTATATGAGCTCATGATGCTTTAACCAAGAAAACTTCAACACTTCCTTAATAACTAAGTGTCTAAGGCCTTCATTTTCTAATCTGACTTTTACTACCCCTTCCCAATGAATCCTTCCTTGAATATTTTAATCAGAGATTTTTCTTTCCTTGTACAATTATACTGATGCTGCCTCTGAGGCAGAGTACTCTCCCCATTTGTATTAATACAGTCTCATCAAAGTCCTATCCCTCCTTCAACACCCAGCTTCCTCTTTGAAGTCTTCTTTGATTGTAATTAGGAAGTGGTTTTTACCTTCACACTGTCTATGCCCCATTTGGAAATTAGCATATGCTATCTTGAACTGTGTTTGTTTGCTTGCTCATTACTTTCCTTGTTTGTTTTATCTCCTGAACAGAGATCATATCAGTCGCCAGAGTTCCCTTTGTACCCAAAGAGGTTAAGTCCAACAGGCCCTTGCTGTTGGTTGCTGATTTGTAAAGGTGATGAATAAGACTCTGACTTTAGAGTGGCCATTCTCTTTGCGTTTAGTGAGGTGACCAGCCTCTGAATACTTCCCGTACCCCTGAATGTTCATTCTGACTACCAGTCACATAGGTTAATGGGTGTCTGGTGGTCAAGAGAAAGTTTGGGGCTGAACTAACATATTTAGTCAGGATGATTTCTGAAACTATTGCTCGTACCTCCCAGAGAGCCCAGGGACCCAGCACACATAGACCATTTTTCTAACTGCTGGGGAGCTGGGAACAGCGGCTGTGGTTGCTGAGCAGTTGCCCAGGGCTGCTTGGCCACCCTGGAGAACCAAGAAAGGGGAGAAATAAAGAACGTTCCTAGCCATGCAAGCAATCCCTTGAATGTTAAGAGAAAACTAGGCTTGTTATGTTCTCTGTACATTTCTTCAATTAGAAATGTTAACAACAAATTTGTGTGATGTTAATGAAAAGCATACTTGTACGCATATGCATAAAGAGAACATGTACCAAAGACCTTTTAAAAGGCGTTCTTTGACATCATAATTTGGGCTTGTAACATAAACAAATAGTGTTTAATCAACTGGGTAATCTTTAGGGACTTTAAAAGTATGCTGACTGATAATGATGTATGTCCTTTCCCAAGAAAAAAAGTATTTTTAATAGGTATAAACATTTTAATTCCTACTTGGATTCCAAGCCAATATGATTCTTTAAGGAGCATAAAAAGATGTCAAAGTTTTGGCCTGTAATAAATGCTGTATAGCCATACGAGGTATATAATCGTGGATCTATTAGGTATCTTAGAGCAGAGGTACTTAAACTTGGAGTGTTCCCAGACCTCTTAGATTCAGAGAATGGTTTCAGAGGGTATTTGAACACCCTGAAATTGTATACAAAATCTGCAAATGTGTTTATGAGGAAAAGGCTTATAGTTTTCATCAAATTATCAAAGGGGCTTATCTATTTTTAGGTTATATGTTTCACCCAACTTGATCTACAGCTTATTTCACAATTATAAATGTAGATGTTAATCTAACTTCTGTGCTGCCCTCTCGATGGTTCTTAGACTCAATTATATGAATTTACTGCTAGTAAAAAAGGTCAAATATTAGTGAATTTACTCATTGGATGATATAACATTTCTGGTTTTTAGGCACAGGCTGCTTTACAGAGAATATTTTTTATACTGAAATTATACAAAGCCTTAAAATTGGCCTGAAGACTAAGTCCCCACAGGTGGGGATCTCAGAAGAGAAACTGGATCAGAAGAGATGTGATCCTCACAGGATAGGGCCAATCTACACCAAAGGACATATGGAGCTGTGTTTCTGTAAACCCATATTTAGAGATGGTTCAATAACTAGAATGTAAAATTATCAACAAATGTCAGGAATCAATATTACATGACTAATAATCCTCTCATCTGTGAGACACAAATAGATAAATAACTTTTTTCAACATTATTCAATTACCAAAACCAGTGGTTCATCTCCCATGGAAAAGAGAAATGCCCTATAACTATCTCTCTTTAACTGAAGGGCTCGGAAAGCTAAATAAGGAAAAGGTGAAAAGGTTCATAGTATTAGGTGGTTGTTAGGATCAGGCACATAGCAGGTTCTCAATAAATATTTGTTTGAATGTTGACTGCCTTAAGATTCTTTGAGTAAAGGCCACAAGTTCCAACATAATCTTTTCCAAATAACTATTATATTTGTATAAATACTGGACATGAGAAAAAAATCCATAGAAGTGTCAGACAGATTTTTCGATACTTACCTCAGCAGAGCTGTGATACTGAATGAAGGTCGCCGAAATAGCATGGCTGAATGGGTCTCCCGCCTTGGTTACCATGTCCTGTCTCACAAGAAGAGCCAGATCTACTAACTAGGAGATCAGAGCAATGGAAACAAAGTCAGAAAATTTGGAATAATAATCTATGTCACTGAAGTGGCAAACCAAAAAGCAGTACATTCCAAATGTTATTGAGAATACTGTCCGCCTAAAATTCTGTACTGTGGACATGAGCACATGCTTCCATTGACTGGCATACAAACTTCCCCTGAACAGAAATAATATGTTCTGACCTCCCAGAGGAGTGGGTCACACACTTTATTTCAGAATCACTAAACAATCATTTTAAAATACAGATTTCCGGGCTTCAGGCAGATGCTGCTTTTCAGAGAATAGTTTCAATATTGAAATTATACAAAGCCCTCATACTCTAATACACTAGGTCTGCTCTGGGGTGTAATATAGGAATTTACATTTTAAACAAGAACCAAGGAGATGTAGATGCTTGTGGTCTAAAGACCATGTTAGAGGATGGAGTCTAGACTCAGATTTTTTTGTGCCCATTCAAGTAGATTGAACATATTTAGAAAAGTATTTGAAGATCAAAAATAATCTCTAAACATGGCAGATATGTGCTTGGAATTCAATACTGAGAAAAACTATGTAAGGTTTCATTTCTAGTTGGAATAAGGTTGCATGAAATAATCACTTTTACCTAACCACCAACAGAGCTGAAGATGCAAAGAAACTCAATTGAACTAAATCTCTGAAAATGATAAGACTGTCACAGAAGAGCTCATTGCAGTTCTCATCCCTGGTGGAGCAGCAGGTGGAGTAAGAACTGATCATGGCTGGGGTTAAGGAGAAAGCAGCCATGTAAGGGCTGATATGACAGATTAGAATTCTTACCTGTGCCACAGTTTCATACGCTAAATATGCCAAAATTTCCATAGCCATAACATCGGGTTTTATCTCCATACTGCTACAGTCCAACCAGTCCCGAAATTTGGAGGCTTTTTTGGCTAGCCAATAAAAAAACAACAACAAAAACAAGTATAGAAAATTTTTGAAGTGCTTTTTTTGTGTGTGTGTGTGTGTGTGTGGGTTTAATCTTCACCTAAGGTTATGTTTCCATTGACCTTTTAGAGAGAGTGAAAGAGAGGAAAAGACAAAGAGAAAATCTATGTGAGAGAAACACATTGATTGGCTGCTTCCCAAATGACCCTTCCTCCTCTCTCCCCTAACCCTCCCCACCCCCGCCAGGGCTGGGGAGGAGCCTGCAACAAAGGTATGTGACCTTGACCAGAATCGAACCCAGGACCCTTTGGTTCACATGCCAGATACAATGTCCAGTGTGCCAAACCAGCTAGGTCTTTAACTATTTTAATACTATCACAACGTGAAAAATGACTCTTGAAAATTGCATATGGAGGATAATGCATACAATATACAATGTTTTTAAAGTTTTATTAATCTACATATTCTAGCCCTAAGAAATTTCTCATGCATTGGGTTCTTTATTTTGTATTCATGATATATAACATAGTAATCAAACCCACTTAATGTTTAGCACTTTTCCCAATATGTCAGAAAGTTTTCAGTTAACAGTAGTTTATGTTATAATAATAGTCAGAAGAGTTACTTGCTTGCCATAACTTTAACTTATTATTGTTGCGGGGAGGGGGGAATCTGCAAGGAAAAATAAAAACCTGTGATGAAAAAAGGAATGTACAGAAATTGTACTTATAATACTTTTCAACATATGTCTCTTATTAGGATAGGCTTAAGGTAGCAAATTTAGAATTAAATAGAATAAACTGATATCTGGCCTGATCTAATACTGTGGTTATATTTTCCTTGTTACAAAGATGTCCAAATTCTTAAACCTGACTCTCAAAACCATCTGGACTGATCCAACCTGCCTTTATATTATTCCCTATGAAAATGTCACCTGGCCTTGAGTATAATTTCTGTGTGTTTAACCCTTTTCATTTCCCTCCATAGATTGTCCTTCTATCATTCTTTATTCATATGAATCCTGCCCACACAGACCAAAGATATAGTTTCCCACTCTAGTCATTAAATGACCACTTACCAGCTATCTTTTCATGTCTGCTTATTATAGCCATATTATAAGTTCTTTGTGGGCAAACACTATGGGTCTATCTCTCAGTATATCGAACAATCAAGTACACAGGGAACCTTCCATAAAACCTTGCTAAAGTGCCACAGTGCTAAGCAGAGTCTAACTAGATATGGGGCCTTCATTAGATATTACTAATTTAACTATTATCCTAGAGAGAAAAGATTGATAATGAAGACTTTATCATGTCTATAACAATCATCTTTAAAAAACCCCAACAATTACTCTTTTGATTAATCTGGTCCCACAGGTCTAAAAAACACTTAACAGTAACTCAAAGCATGATGTTTTGATCCTCACAGATACAGTCTTCATGGATTCCACATATAGAAGAGTTTCTTCCTAAATAAATCACAGAAGACCTTAAGTCCTGCTATCGAAGCACACATGCAAAGTTGTCAACTGTGGCAGAATTATGGTAATCCCCCTTAAAGCTATCTCCCTAAAGTAACCAATCTTCTAAATACTCTCTGACATGCAACATTCCATCTAACTAGTAAGCTGCAATAGCTCACAAACACTTGTTTAACATATGTGGAATATTTCTGAAGTTAACAGGCAGCAATTTGGCAAGATCAATAAAGTGTACCTTATTCATTTCTCCCTCTGACAGATTGTTCAAAACACAGAGACATATATCTTGTGACATGCTCTAAAAATTTTATTTTAAAAGTGAGAGAAAGAATAGTTCTTAGTATTCCATCAGATCTGTTCACCTAAGCAACAGCTTTTTCTCTCTAGATTTTAAGCACTGAGAATACAGGGACATGAATCATGTGTCCATCATTATATCCCCAGCACCCAGAACAGTGCTTGGCATTAGCAGACTCACAATAAATATTTCTAGGAAAAATTAATAAAAGAATAAACAAACAAACAAATGAAAGATATTTCTTCAATGGAAGAATAGACTGCAAACCTTTTTATATATATGAAATAGCCATAGGGGCTCCATACACCCACTTGGGTAACTGCTATTCCAGCAGCAGATGAAGATGTTCTGAGCTAATTCTCTCTCTGTCACTTGGAGCAAAAGTGCAGAGATGGACCCTCTCGGGGTATTGTTGGTTCCAGAAAAGGAAGCACAGGTGCTCTGAGTCATGATAGTTTGTCTCCATCAGGAAGAGATGGGGTATCAGAATGGATGAGTTCCTTCTTCTTCACCCCTCTTCTCAATATATGAGGAGAAAAGGCAACCCTGGACACCGATCAACATTTAAATAGAATCCTGAAAAGTTCTTAGGATTATTAGCTTTCTCGTACTACCTGGGTTTTCAGGCCATGCTGGACAACCTTATACAATAATTTCACATAAAAATTTGAAGTTAGTCTTCACACACTTTTATCTTTCTTACCAATCATCAGTAGATCACTAGCAAAACTCAACTTTCTCCCAATTCTCCATTTTCTCCTCCCTGAATACTATTCTATTATTTTGAGCTCATCCCTTCTCACTTGTCTTTTCATTCTTGATCCTTCCCACAGAGCCTCTGTAATGATTAGGTCACTCTGGAAATTCTCCTACAACTTTAATCTCTTTAAAATCACTGTTCTTTGAGTTACTCGAGAACAGTCTTCCTTAGAGGGCATGGTTTTCCCTGGGATTTTTTATAGTAGAGGTTCTTTCTTTCTTTCCTTCTATAAATATTCACTGGTCAACTACAATTGCTAGCCTTTACATTTCCCCATATACCAGAGGGTCTAAAAGTAATACATCTTCATCTCTTAGTTTCTCCCTCAGTGAAAATATAGAATAAGTAGATAGAATTCTCACCAACAATGCAGGCTAAAAGACAATGGAATCATGTTTTAACAAATAACTACTAGTCTATAATTTTCTACCCAACTAAACTATCATTTCAATATGAGGAAAACCCAGCTGGTTTGGCTCAGTGGCTGAGTATCAACCTATAAACCAAGAGATCACCAATTCAATCCCCAGTCAGGACACATGCCTGGGTTGCAGGCTCGATCCCCAGTAGGGGGCATGCAGGAGGCAGCTGACAGATAGTTTTAGAAAAGGAAGAAAAGTAAATAAAAAAGCACAGTAAATTTAAAATACAAAACAAGACAGCATATATAAACCCAGATTATAATTACTTCTGAATTAAAATAATCAAGTAAAATACAAAGAGACCCTCAGATTGTCTAAAAAAGAAAAACTAGATATTTGTTTACAAAAATCAACATATTAAACAAAAGGATGAAAGAAAGAAATTGGGAAAAGATTTAACTGAATTAAAGTTTTGTAATTAAAATTAATATCAGACTTTAAAAGACTTTAAGGAAAACAACCATTGACATATAAATATAAAACAAGCCTAGTGAATTTGACCAGTATCCCAATTCTACAACTTAACATCAGCCTATATAGTTATAGACTTGTTATCTTAAAATGCACCAGTAACTCTGGCCGGTGTGACTCAGTGGTTGCAGCATTGTCCTGTACACCAAAATGTGGCAGGTTTGATTCCCGATCAGGGCTCATACCCATGTTGCATGCAGCAGGCAACAGATCTATGTTTCTCTCTCACATCAATGTCCCTCCCTCCTTCCTTCCCTCCCTCCTTTCCTTCTTCTCTCTTAAGATCAATCAAAAACAATATTTTAAAGAGAGAGAAAAAAAGATAAAACACAGCAGTAGTCCCAATTCATGAATGCTACAATCAACTACTTAAGAGGACCTATCTATCACAGTTCCTGTGTCCCAGTAGTTTATCAGTGTCCAATAGTCTCACCAGTGTGGGTATCAGCTCTGAATTTGCTGGCCCCTTGGATTCAGCATTCCCAACCACAGCACTGTGGCATATAAAACAGATTCTTCCACTAAGGTTTCATAATGAAGCACCCATGGGTAACATATAAAGAAACATTTCTAAAGGCCCTAGTCTCTCTTCTTTAAATTAAAAAAAAATTAAGTATAATATATTGTTTATACTATAATTATTTTGTAAAGAAAGAAAATATATTAACTTTTAACCTGATACAGTCTATTATTCAATTACAAACAAAAAAAGTGGAGTCATTAAAACTCTAATTATCAAATAAACAATGTATTAGAACACTTCAATGACTATATGTTTTAATGTGAAAATAGCACTTCTGTTCCTTTAAGTGAATTAAATTTAAAATATGTTTTTAAAAAATAGTTCAATGGCACTAAATGTTACTTTATAAACTGGAGATTTATATTTATAAAAGACTTGAATGCCATTTTTAAACCTAAAAATTACAATACAAAAACCTTTCATTTGCTGAAATTGCCATGATCTGAAGTGTCATTTACTTAATGCTTCACAGATGTATGATGCCAAATTGTTAGTCAGACTGCAAAGTATATTTAGTTAGGAAAAAAAATCTTCAAGAACATGTTTTCCTATATTTTACTGACATTTACATGCAGCACTATTTGAAATGTGTCATTTATTTGCACTTTATGATCTATAAATGAAGCTCTCATTTTCTTTTTCCAACTCAAATACGTTGTTATTATGACCACATAATAGCGCTTTGTTTAAAGACACCATTGTGTGTATAATCCCTCAAACCAGGGTCATGTGCTACTTTGTCAGATTTTTAACTGGACTTTTCATCACACTTACTCTTTGACCTTTACCCCAAGGTTCTTAGTCATCACTGAACTGTTACTGGGAGGATGTTTTGCTACACAATTGAGCCCCCTATTTATCATGGGCCTTAATGTACTTGTAATAAGCCTGTGTGCATTGTCAGGACAGGACTAATTTACCATCAGGTCAGTATTACAAGAGCACAAATAAAGAAATTTGGCTAACAGGGACAAAGATGGAAGAGACCATGGGTCTGTCCTGTGGCAATATGAGTATGCGTAAATAAATGGAAAATTTGGTATCTATTAATATGTATAAAAGGCTTTTAAATGTCATGACTGTACCAAGAGAGTCCATTATGGATCAAGTACAATCAGCAATAGTAGAGTAAATATGATGACTAAGAAACTGAAATGAAAGATGGGAATATTAAGACAAAGGAATTTTTCTGACTAAAACCTATGTGAATAATTAACATAGCTCTCTGTGTATTACTCAGACCCTTTAAAATCTCTTACTACTATTAATTGCAAAACAGTAAAGTGGGGTAAAATCTTTTATAGGCTCCCCAACAATGCGGAGGCTGTTTCTGTAGCAGTTATAACTATGCATATATTAAATTCACCAATTTCCAAGGAACAGATTGTGTCATACTTTGCTATATCTGTAACACACACTCTCTTAAACATATAATGAAATAAAGTTAAAGGCTTACTTACAGAAACTCAATTGTCGACTTTCACAGAATTCTGCATATTGGGCTGAATCCATAATTCGAGTTTGTCTTTCTGCTCTCTAATAGATAAAAATAAAAAGGCACAAAAATACTTTGAAAGCAACTGGACTATTGTATATGTTTTCACAGCTAAAACTTAGAATTGAAGTTCCATGTTCTTTGCCTTCCTCTTGGCAATAGATTAGCACTGCCCAAAATACCGTGACACATAAAGTTAAAAGTAACAGTTTTGAAGCTTGTTTCTTTTGGAAATAAAGTATAAAATACCATTTTCCACTAATCTGTTATTGCCATTATAGTGGAAGAAGAAACCAAAGAACCTCACTTCTCAGATTGTGCACTTCTAAATTTTCTAAAGTATACTCTCCTTTAATTAAGGAAAAGAAAGAAAGAAAGAAAGAAAGAAAGAAAGAAAGAAAGAAAGAAAGAAAGAAAGAAAGAAAGAAAGAAAGAAGAAAAGAAAGAAGAAAAGAAAGAAAGAAAGAAAGAAAACTGTGAGAAGACAATAACCAGTCATATAGGAAAATTATTAATAATTACGGTTCATCTGCCCTGAAGCTGGGATTTTTAAATATTAAATAGGAGTCAACAAATGGGGTCCATAGATTTCCCTTCAGTTAGAACATGGAGCCAGAGCTAACAAATCCATATTTTAAATTGCAAAGAAAATAAAGAAAAAGGTAAACACAACACAAATCCTTTCATCAGAGTCCAGGTATGACTCACAGTTTGGTATAGCTTCACTCGAGGGTTTCTTACTCAGTAGAGCAGATGTTTGCTGCTTCATTGTCCCACGCGAGGTAGGATAATTATAATTCCCCCACAGTTTGGTGGGAAAGAATACGACCGCTTCCGCTTCCTTGGCAAGGGAAGCATTTTGAAATGAGACAGGCTGGTACTTTTTGGAATGAATTTCTGGCCAGCAAAGGAAAAAAATTCCCTGAGATTTTAATTTCTTTTCTGCTTTGGAAGGATTTTCAGCAAGTTTTCTTTATCATAGTTGTTGGAGTACATAAATACCACTTACAATGTCTGTGGATATTTTTATATCTTTTAAAACTAAAATTATTCTGTTTTTCATTTCATTTGATTAGGGGGAGTGATCACCTTAACTCCAATGATATGTCAGTTGATGGGATGAGGAATGGTACACTAGTTTTGGCTCAATACAGAAAAGATATACATGGGGTTGTGGGAGGCAAGTTAGCATTTACTAACTACTGTAGTTCCTTCTAAGACCACTGAATACTTTCCCCCTTCCTTCTTTTCCTCCCTCCCTCTCTTTTTTCTTTTCTTTCTAATCCCTGCCCCCCACAAACACATATATGCACTGACACAAACCAAGACTTGTTTATTTATCCTGTAGTTCAAGTATCCTTTCTGAGCACATGCAAGTAAATATTACACACACGCGCGCGCACACACACACGTATGTATGCATCCTCGTGTGTGGACATGAAACATCATGGTCCTTAAGGATATAACACTTGGTGAATTTTTATGTACTTAGAAGTATTTTTTGATATGTGAATGCATGATTTAGTTTTGTCCTTTTTAAATGTATCTAAAACAACATTTTTTTTTTGTTACTGGAGAACAGGAAGGATGGGCTAATTTTTGTGTTTTGAACATAAATTAATTGCTATTGTTTATTAAAACTTCGAAAGCTGATAATACTCTGCCTGTCTGTCTATCTGAGTTTGACGATAGCAGGAACTTCTCAGGTTTGAATTTCTAGAAAATATCTGGCATGATAAATAAACAAACATTGACAGAATGAACAAGTGCTGCCAGTTTAGTCTAAATCAGGGAAAATGGCTACCACCGTAATGTAGCCAGTCTTTTAAATAGTAATTAACTAGCGTTACTATTGGTCTTCTTTGCTACTTTCCAGTTAGGCAGCCTCATCCACCCAACACATGCTGGACAGAAAGGGCTTAGATAAGCATGACAAAGACACAGTTCTGAACGGGATCCTTAAGATGAACTTTTCTTCTACCAAGCTGAATAATCAAGATTTGACTTTTACAACTATGCTTAGGTCACTGATGTCCCAGCAGTAAGGATTTCTAGAATTGGGAGTGGGAGTACTTATTCTAAGAGGTTAAGGCTGCCGGGCTGCCAGCTGTAATTGAGGTGTGTGGCTAGCTGGAAGATTCTGAGCCGCAAAGCCTATCATCTGACTACAGTTAAGAGACACTAAAAGCCTTTCAACAATTACAGCTAGTTTCATTCCTTTTCCATACTGTCTTCAGTGTCTGTTCTCTTTTCTTCAATCAGCATCTTAGTTTGATTTCAATTCCTCTGTCACCTAAGCAGTAACCTTAGATCTCCAGAGTCCAATGAAGCTGCCATTCACTAAGTACCTAGCACACAGCAAACAGGGCTAAGCAGTTAATTCAACAGCAAAGATTTATCGGCATACAAAATGATGGCATGTTAGAGCTAGAGGGTGGCTAAACTTTTACCTTGTTTCATCCTCTCATTTTAAGGATAAGGAAATTGATGTTCAGAGAGAAGACAGAAGTCTAGGCCTACTGATTCCTGAGCCAGGCTAGTTTCATTATAAAAAGCTGTCTCTAACCTGTAGTACTTTTTACCTTCAATAATTCTCATTGTGTTACTAAAACATGTTCTGTAGCCCCTTTAATTAACATGCCCAAACTGTTCATGAGAAAATAAAATTAGTGGAGCCCTAGTTCAACAAAGAAGGCACAACCCGGAGATCACACAGTGCCCAGTGCACAGGTTGTGATGGACCTGACAGTGTACTGGATGCTGCAAAGGTGCCACAGGTGTGTGGAGTCACTGTTTCTCTCCAACCTTTTGGGAGCCACACAAGGCAGGGGCACAGGACCCCAGAGATAGTATCTGGCTAAAAGCTGCCTTGTCCATTGACCTTGGTGCATCATGAAAATATTATCATTTCCTATGTGAGTCACGGCCTGGAAAAGCATGCACACTGCTCAGAGAGTGGTCCAGTGAGCTCAGCATGAAATCAGACACAACCTGGGACATGAGGATGATGAGGGTGACACCTCTCTCTTCCCATCAATTGTTTAAAATAACCAAAAAAGAGAGACCAACGTGGCCTTATTGAAGAATTACCACCATTCAGCATCTGCTTACACTACCTCTTGTCCTTACACTATCACCTTAAGTCCTGGGAAAGAAAGGAAATACCTAACCTTCATGGATTCTGTGTTCTTTAAAAACAGTAACTGTGTTTTGCTTCTATAATCAAGCATTGGCCAATGTTTAGCTTGGATTTACTGGGCCTCAGTAAATGTTTGCTGGCTCGCTGAATGACTGGGCAGATGGATTGACGGTTTGAGGCAAAAGAAATGCATATAAATTCTTGTTGGCTGATCTAAAATCAGAAACTGTAATATCAGTAATCAAACTGCATGAATTCCAGAAAGGGTAGGTAGTCTTTTTAACCAAAGACCCATAAAAAATCAAGACGCTGGCCAACGATTAAATTAAATTTGGCTTTTATTTTCTGTGTTGTCCTATTTCCACTTTCCCTCTGCTCTGTGCAGATGACCTGTTCTAATCCCCATGAAAGCACACACTGGCCGTCCTGTTTTACTCCTGCCACAGTTAAAAAAATCTCAGGAAAAAATGCAAGAGGTAAAAATCACAAACCTAGTAAAACAGCATGATCAGAATAACAATGCCCACTCTTTACATAGAGCGACATCAAAACCTTTAAGATAAACAGCTAATTTAAAGCATACCGGTTCAGCCAGGACCGGTTTGGCTCAATGGATAGAGCGTCGGCTTGGGGACTGAAGGGTCCCGGGTTCGATTCCAGTCAAGGGCATGTACCTTGGTTGCGGGCATATCCCCAGTAGGGGGTGTGCTGGAGGCAGCTGATTGATGACTCTCTCTCATTGATGTTTCTAACTCTCTATCTCTCTCCCTACCTCTCTGTATAAAATCAATAAAATATATTAAAAAATAAATAAAGCATACAGTTCATAAAGTAAAACGTGGGTCCTAAATGACCTAGTCTATGGTGTATCACTGAATCATCAGAGTAAGTTTATCATAGTGTTTATTCATTCTGAACATTCTCCAATGACTCAGTGTTCTTCTGATCTCAGACTGCCACATGAATATAAGGTCACCGCTAGGGTAGTCAGCTCCCATATCTGCGAGTCCAGTTGTCATCTGTCAGCTCCACCCACTCTGTGGCTTCTTTAGGCATCAGCAGTGCTCTTTTTCCTCTTTTTCTTTCTTCTTCTTTTTTTTTTATAAATTAAATTTATTGGGGTGACATTGGTCAACATCAACATATAGGTTTCAGGTGTGGGTTTCTAGGTTATAAAATCTGTATATTGTGCCGTGTGCCCACCACCTAAAGCAGCAGTGCTTTTGAGCACTCAAAAATGTGCTACACACTCAGAGGTTTTTCTGAAATGGAACTTCACTAGTGTACCATACGGCAAGGATTACCACATAGGGGCAGATATAGAAAAATTCCTTTGAAAGAATTACTCCTAAAATTTTCTAAACACTTAACAATATTTTTAACATGAATAGGAATGGCTCTTAAAAATGCAAACCAGAATAAGATATGTTAGTTGTTCACTCATCTCACTACCAAGAAGTTACAGCCTTTTCTGGTTATTGTAAGCAAATATTGTAAAAAAGGCGAATGCCATGCCAGATGAGCTTTTTTTGGTTCTACCTAAATGAAAACAGGGAAGCAAATATCTCTACGATGCAGTACCTACTACAATTTGTGCTTGTTTAATCTTGAACACAGCAGACGGTTATTATATATTTGTTAATTTAAATTTTTGATTTTAAGTTTTCATTTTGATTAATGTGAAATTGGTTGTATTTTTGAATAAGCCTTTCAGCATGACAGGCAGTGTCTGCCCTGCTGGCACCAGTTTGTATCCTTGCGTCCCAGGCCGGAGGACTTACTCAGCACACAGTTCACTTCTATCCTCCTCAGGCTTTCCCTGCAGCGTATGCAGGCTATAGAAGCTCTGTGCTGGCATATCTCTTGGCAGCTTTTCAAGACACATGACATTTATCTTTCCTC